TTCCCTTGCACACACTCTCATCAGCAAGCCAAAGTGGGGTGCTAGCACTAAGCTCCTCAAGACCATCCTGCCAAATATTACTATCAACATCCAGCTGAAAGATACCTTTAGAAGGTATGGGATTGGGAGGGATGGCACCAGGTGGTGCCTTACACAGTCATATCATACTCTGCAGTTCACTACAGAGATTATTGTATGTGGTGACAAGTTTCAGGATGGTAGGCTCTCATTGTTTTATGGATGACTCCACATGTGACTGTAAATGGTTTTCTACATGATGTTATTGAAAATAGCAGCCAGAAATAAAAATTTGCTCACTACTGGAAGAGGTCCCATATGACCATTGTGGTCACTGGAACTCAAACTTGCACTGATGAAGTCATTCCCTTATCTGAACCTTAAGTGCTTGTGCATTTGTTTGTGTTTGGAGCCACTTGTTGTTCCTCAGCAGATGAAGGTCAGTTTGAGCAGAAAGTCCCAATGAAGCCTTTTTCTTCTTGAGGGCCTGGGCCACCTTTGACAGTGACCCTTTTGCTTCAGCAAGTTGTAGATTGTAGTCAACAATGTCATTGATATGATCATCAACAAGATCCTTCTCTAACTGATCCACATGGCACTGATAGTCCTCAACTGTTTTCTCCAGAGCAAGAACATGTGCCAACTGTTCAGAACCCTTGTTATTTGACTGACCTACAGGTTGGTGAGTCATATGATCACACACATGCAAAGGGAACAGACTAATGAGGTAGAAGTTGAGTTTGTGCATGTACTTGTGCAGCCCACTCATGCTGTAGAGTCTGCATGTCAAGATGCAGAGCATGAAGAGCCTCCAAAGCCACCAATTTCCTACTTTTGCAGAGGGACCATTTCCTGCTCAGCCACTGGCCAAATGCATCAAAAGACTTCTTGTCCAAGTGTTGAATTTGATTGTCAAGGACAAATCTCTGATGATACTAAGGGTAAAATGAGCACTGGAATTATATTTGAAGAAGAGTCAATGCTTACCCCAGATACTTGAAGAATTGGAATAAGCATTTTTAGGGCACTCCATAGTCACTCACACCCCTCACCATCTGACAAGCCAAAGCCTACACATTTACATGGGTGATATACCAATTGGCATGGCCATTGATGACCATATGCATGGAAGACAGAAATACCAAACTTCAACCTGGAGAGTATCCCATCATCAAGGAGTTTCCACTTTTGACAGCTATGCTCCAATTGACAACCAATGTCATATAAGAGGCCAACAGTCATCTTGGCAGGGAGATGGTCAAAGAGATGTTTCACCAGCACTAGGGCATAGTGCTGCTTTTCCCCTGCTGATGTCATATTAACCAACCAGAGGACATGATCATGATGACACAAAAAAGCCATAAGCCCTGTATCTGCAAAAAATTGTGTGCTGGCTTTTTGCCTCTTCTTATCTGCTGCATGGAAAGAACCTCCACACCCATCCAACACAGAGGCAGGTACCCTCATTCCATCCTCCAACCTGTCCTGCTGGTTTTGAGTCTGAGAATGATGTTGACTGGTTGGGAGGGATCTCTGTTTCTCAATGAAAACCTCCATGGCCTTCACCTCTGACTCAGGTATGAATACAGTGCTGGTGAGATTGGGAGGGTCATCAGTGGCAGATTTGTTGGTTCTCTTCTGAGTGAAACATGCATCTAAGCAGACAATGCAGTCAAAGTTATTGGGTCTCAGTCATCTAGTCAGCAACAATGAGCTTGTCATTGACTCACTCATCCTGAGGAGGGTTAGAGCTCTGTAAGTCACCTCCCCCAAAGCAAAGAGGACAGTGAGCACATAGGTAGTCACTTGGCCAGGGGCTATCTTGCTGTGGCATGGAGTTTGGGCAAAAGGACCAGACCATAGCAGAAATATGGTCCTCCACATATATTGTCAATACAGTATACCAATGATAAGCATTACTGAAATGCTGCTGGAGATTGTCCTGATTATTTGAATAAGCACCCATCATTACACCAGAGATATTTGTGTGGGCACATGTACATTCAAACCATGATGATATACCAATACAAGTAGCATACAGGGTGGATGTGAAGATAAAGGCAGAGATCCAGTGATGGTGTTTGGAAAAGAACATACCTTGAACTGCAGTGTATACCCTTGACCATCCAGGAAGCTTTCAAGTGCTTCACACCATGCAGTTGTGTTTGGGGTTAGCCAGACAAAGAGCTTCTTTACAAACTCCAGTACATGAAGGTCAACTGCCAGAGTAGGTACCACACGAGATGATGCAAATAACCTATAGCCCATGAGGCATATAGGAGCTGAGGTGCATGCACAGTAGCTTATCCCAACATCCTCCAAACCTGGGTATACATGAGCATCACAAGAGCAAACAACAAAAGGGTCACATACAGTCAAAGAAGAGACAGCAAACAGTGAGTTGATACACTGTGCAAGTGCAACATCAATGGATGACTGGGGGGTCTACCACCATATGGAGGGATTGGGATGCCTTGAGATAGCACATGTAGGACTTGAGAAGTGCTGGAATGATATCTTGTGACCACCATTGCCATTGGTTCTTGCACTTCTGTGAACCACTCAGATGTGAAGGCAAGCCAACCTCACTGAGTTCAAGCTCATTCACAGCATTGAAGACATCAACAGGTTGGTGCTGAGGGTGATGTGGCATTGCAGCAGTATCTTGAGCATGGCATTGGTGGCCTGGAAGTACAAAGACAGGTGGAGATGCAGGGAGGTACAGCACTTTCATACCAAAAGGATGACATTGACAAGCTAGGGGAGGAAGGACAAACAATGACTGTGTCATATTCTACCCAAAAATAAACATGTATAACCTCTTAGACATAGGATCAGAACATACTGAAGGGGCAGGTATACCAAGTGACACTTGGTTGTTTGATGATGGAGTGGCTACATCAGGCAGCCAGTTGGTTGAGGCAGACAACATTGATAAGACCTGTAGGGGAGCTAAGATGATATGAAGAATACCATAATGAAATTGCACACACCAAAGGGCCAGAAGTATGAAGCAATGGCTCATTACCAGACAAAGATGAAGGATGGTCAGTGAGTGCACTGGGTACCAGACCAGCTTGGACAGATGAAGCAGAGGAGGCCTGTAGAGAAATGATGAGCACAACATGAGACTTGAAGACAGGGAAAACTCACAATATTAGAATTACTCATAGAAGGCAAGGCATTGTGATGCCTCTGAGGCTTTGGACAGTGAACAGCCATCTCAGATCATTCTGGAAACTGTGACACAAAGCCAACAGCAGTACACCTGGGACTCAAAGTCAACAGGTGGTGGAAAGTACGACACAAAGTCAGCAGGGGGTGTCAGTCCAAGGGGATTTTGACCAGATGATGAACCTCTGGAAGGGAAAAACTATGCAGAAAATTTGTCAGATCACCACATACAGCCAAGTAGGATCCTACTTACCAGAGCACAAGTCTTGAGCAGTTAAAAACAAAAGTTGCTATCAACATCACAGTGAGCAGGGATCCCATCATCAAGATGTCATACATACTGAGCAGAATGAGTCTCAAAGAATTAAATGGTGCAGACCTTGATGCAGATAAAGCGTCAATAGCAGTGAAGGGGGATGGGAACATTCCTTGCCTGGCAGTGGGAGTGTCAGTGAATAACATGTTGCTATCAACAAAAAAAAAAGCAGTGAGCACAAAGCATGAGATTAAGGTTCAGTCACAGGCAACATTTCAAATCATCGAATTGATTCAGCCTGCTTTACAACATGGTACATACTCATACTAAACAAATTTGGACAGAAAAAAAAGTATATGTGGCAGAGGATGTCGGACAAAGGTAAAAATGTGGGGGAGGGATGGTTGATGCCCAAGATTATCAAATGCAGTTTGGAGTAGAATTCACAAGCCAAGATGAAGGCTTCATATGCTGCTTGGTTGCCAGAGCCATCCAGCTCAATTGGGGACTTCAAATGAAAGGGCACTCCTGGCCATGCAGATAGCAACTGACAGAACTTGTTCAGATAGGGCAATGCCACCTCCATCTCACTAGCAGTCAACCCCAAATCATGTGGCTTGCAAGGAAGAGGTGCTGACCAACTTGAAAGACCACATCCACCAGGGAAGATAGACCAAAGAAGTGATTGGTGTGTATACTTATCTAGGCTATTGGGCCAAAGCTGTGGGACAAGGGCCTGATTGAGTGTGTGAAGTTCATAGTGGAAGCTGAGTTTGTAGAGTTCCCATAGAAGGGAACATGTGAAATGAAGGGATGGGTCTCAAAGGCTTGAACCCCAGACCTGCACAAGATACGTATGAAGAGCAGATCTAAATAGGATGAAATACTAACCTGCATTCCCCTCCACTCAATCTCTTCTGATGTACAAACAGGATCATCATGGGTTGCTTGAATGATGTCCCCCAAAATCAACCAAACTGCCAACTTCATGGATGCACTCTGGGTGCCAGAGGGCAAGTGCTCTGTGTCAGTACCATTGAGGAAGTCCCTCAACATCTGAGGGGAAGGGTTCTTCTGCAGATACCAAATGTCAACTCAATTCATCCAAGCCAGATGAGCAGAGAGCCAATTCAACATGTATGTCTTCTTTCATTCAGGGGTGGTCACATTGACCAACAGTGTGGGCTTCAGAAAGCAATAACCAGGGTCCACAATGCCTGACTTGACTCTGGATATATCCTTTGAAGCTTTCCTCCAAGCCAATGCAAACAGACTGTGGGGCTTGGGAATTTCTGGAAGATCAGGCTCTTCCCACCTTACCAAGTCCCCACCACCTGATTGTTTGGGGTGTGAAGCTACAAGTTGGTCAGGAACAAGCAGAAAGAAAATTAGGGTACATACCTCTGGAGGGGCCTGCAGTTGCTTGTTCCCTGGCAGCCCTTGTCTGCTTTTTCATTGATTGCTTCCCAGTGCTTGAAGATGGGTTCAACAAGGATGTGGCAAATGATTCTTGCAGGGGCTCTGGTTGCTCTGTGAATGTACCCTCATAGTCCCTGCAAGTGTGAATGTGGTGCAGGAGACCACCAGGAGCATGGTAGATCAATGGGAATGACTTAGCTACCCCCTTTTCCAAATACATTGCTTTCACTATGTCTTCAGGGCATGTCAATCTCACAGGCTCCTTGATATTCATATCAGGGGAGATGTATGCCTCAGTATGTATGAGCCAGACTGGCACCCCAGCAAAATATAGTGCTTCACAAGTGGCAGTATCCTTCATGAAGCACCCCATCCAGGTGGGGTTTGCACATACAGGTTTTGAGCAGGGAGGTGAAAGAAGCAGGTAGAGGATCTCAATGTATTTGAGCATAGTGTAAATGTCAAGCAGCTTGTGCTGAAGCTGGGCAACAAAAATGACAAGGTCTCAGAATAAAGGGGGTGATGCTGCAAGCACAAAACCTTGTGTTGAACCGACTGCACTAGTTGGGTCATAAGGTTTCAACCCACAAGTTGATTGCAGAGGGGGTGATAGCAGCTGCACAGTTGCTGAAGTAGTTCTTCAAAGGCCTTGACCTTTGCCTTTTCAAGCATTCCCACCAGATACACAGAACCAAGTGGAAGGACAAAATCCACAGATGTCAGAGTGAACCAAGCAATATTGAGAGTAGGGACCATATTTTTTCAAGGTATGCAAACACCATATTTGTAGTTTTTTTTTGTATGTTTGAGGCCATTGGAAGCAATCAACAAGGCTGAACTGACCATCAGCACATGGACAAAGATTGACTTCTTCAAAAATGTATGGCTCTGGAATGAAGTCTGCATTGGGTGATGCAATCACCCAGCAGTCCTTGCACATGACCACTCATGCATCTAGTGATGTAATTTTAGCTGTGGATGGTAATTAAGCACTGGGAAAACACAAAAGTAGAGGAACATACCATTGCCAGGCCAGGTGAATGCTTTGAAGCAGGTAAGTGCAGTCCCCCAGGACATTTTCACTTGTGTTGGAATTGAGCTGCAAGGAATAATGGACAGATCATGTGTAGATTAGTTGGTGACAGGGTGAAAGGCATGTAATTAAATACTCACTTTTATGAAAGAAAGCAAATGAATGTTGGTGGCAGGAGAGGGTCCAGGATAAAGGACTGACTGTGAACAGAATGCTGTGAGGGCAATAGGGGCAGGTGACTAGAGTGTGTGCTCATGGAACTTGTGGCTTGAATTCCTGTGAGACATTAGATGTCAACAAAAGTGATATAAACAGCAGATGCAGATACCTTGCACAGGTGTTGGCCCTGGTATGGGACTGGACTTTCCATGAATGGAACTCTGTGAGGGAAATTGTGGCAAGTGACTGGAGTGTCTGCTCATGGAACTTGCAGCTTGAATTCCTGGGAGATGTTAAAGGTCAACAAGAGTGACATAAACAGTAGGAACAGATACCTTGCACAGGTGTTGGCCCTGATATGGGACTGGACTTTCCACAAATGGAACTCTGCAAGGGAAATGGCAGCAAGTGACTGGAGTGTCCACTCATGGAACTTGCAGCTTGAATTCCTGAGACATTAAAGGTCAACAAAAGTGACACAAACAGTAGGTGCAGATACCTTGCACAGGTGTCAGCCCTGGTACAGGGCCAGACTGACCATGAATGGAACTCTGCAAGGGCAATGGTGGTGGATGACTGGAGTGTCCACTCATGGAGCTTGTGGCTTGAATTCCTATAAGATGTTAGAGGTCAATAAAAGTGATATAAACAGTAGATGCAGATACCTTGCACAGGTGTTGGCCCTGGTATGGGATTGGACTTTCCACAAATGGAACTCTGCAAAGGAAACAGCAGTGAGTAACTGGAGTGTCCACTCATGGAACTTGCAGCTTGAATTCCTGGGAGATGTCAAAGGTCAACAAAAGTGACATAAACAATAGGTGCAGATACCTTGCACAGGTGTCAGCTCTGGTACAGGACCAGACTATGCACTGATGGAATTCTGCAAAGGTCTTTATTGGGGGTAACCAGAGTGTCCACCCATGGAACTTGCCAAGAGAAGTGTGGGGGATGCTGTAAATGTGGCATGCATATGGGGAGGGTTAACAGCAGAAGTGCTGGCTTCTGAGGGAATGATGGAGGGTGCCAACATTGCATGCACATGAGGAGGGTTGGTGACAGGAACCACATGGGGTGAGAGAGCCACTGAGGATGCTGCAGATGTGGTGCACACACTGGGAACATCAACATCAGAAGATGAGTTAGCATGCATCACAACTGCAGAACTGCTCAATGGTGAGGGAGCCATGGAGGATGCTGCAGGTACAACACTGTTGGTACCAGCACCATCAAAGGACCAAGTTCATGTTTGCTGTATAAAGGCAGGGGGAGCTTCCTGGTTTTGATTATGCATAAATGTAAAGTTGAAATTAGGAGGCATAATTGGCACTGGATGGCTGCAAGTGTTTAGACCTCTGTTGAGGAAGTCCAACATACTTTCCCTGGGACATTGGAGAGGTATCCCATTTTCCTGGGGTGACAATGTTAGGGTGGATATATTGAAGGAGATTTAAAGATACTTGCATCACATTCCCTGTCATCTGCCACATCAACATCCATTGAAAGATCTCCCTTATCACCACTGTACAAGGGCTGTCCACTAGACCTCTGACACAAGGTGTTAACAGAAATATGTGATACAGTTTAAACTAACCCATTGCTTCCAAAGGTGAAAACAGTCATTTAGCCAGCTCACCCAGTGCCCCTACATATCAATTAGCCAATTGTGCTATTTGAAGAAGCCAGACTTACTAACTTTATGTCTCTTAGCCTGCAGTGCCTGCAGGGTGGTCATTGTCTTTGCTTCCTGGTGGTGTCACTTTGCTTCAGGAGGTGGTTCTGGATTCTCTAGAGCCCATTTGCCAGGTGTAGGAAGGCCATAACATTCATCAGTGTGCTTGCCAAAGACATCACTGGAGTCAACATCTGAGCCTGTTGTTGCCATAGCCAGAGAAAATGGGACAGAGAATAATCTGTAATCATACCTTTGTAATATATGTAGTCACAGGGAGTGGCTCTTCAGAGACAAAGGAGACCTTTAACAAAGAATTGTCAAAATTAGCAGAAGATGGATGCTGGCATGCAGAGTATGTCTTGCAGATCTCACTTGACAGTAACAAAGACAATTGGATGGATGGCAGGTTGCCTCATATGATTGTATGGCAGGTGGGGGGATCCAGTATCACTTCTTACAATTGTGAAGTTGGGGGGGCTGTCATCATACTTAGCATGCTTGTATGTCAGATAACAGATCAGACCACAGAAATCCCATCTAAATCTTGCACTGAAGGACTGGAATGCAGGCAAAACCAGAATGATGACTCATGAGGAAACAAGGGCAGGGCACCAAATCAAAGTCACAGCTCATGCACCAAATCAAAGATGACTCAAGCAGGAAAGGGCTGACATAAGCAATCTACTAGCATCTAATGGCACTCTGGGGCATACAAAGGTATGTAGGTTATCAGTAAATGCACCAAAAACTCAGAGTCACTAAAGAGAAAAACAGTAGTGCCTAATGGTACTAGAAAATTATTCAAGCACTACATAGAACAGTTAGTTTTCAGTATAAAACTGGCAGAACAGAGGGACAGAGAACTGCTCCCAGGATTGGACTAGCACATTGTGGGTGAAGAGGCTTGCATGTTGATGCTGTTGATCATCCCCACCATGGAGAGTGGTAGTGGAATGCCCAGTAAGCTGCAGGGTCACTAAAATGGACACAGTAGAGAAATCTGTTGATGAGTATAATCATGTGCTCCTGGGATCACATTGATAAAAAGGTCATTCCAAAATCTAATGATGATTGACAGGGGACTCATGAAATCATGTGAGGGTGTAAGGAGGGTACTTTCCTCAACCAAACATTGGACAAATATAAGGCCATCAGTCTTCAAAAGGAACCAGGCTGAACAGTCAAATGTTTGAGTAATGGAATGTGGAACACAGCATAATGGGAACAACTCATGTTGTCCAGGAGTTTCCAATGCAACAAGCATGAGTGATGCACAGTGTACTCCACTATGAGCAATGCCTGTGGAAATGCCAGTGTAACTAGTTGCAAAGAGGATGGGGGCACTGGGTAAAGCAAAATTCAGTTTGGGTACAAGACAGGGAAGAATTCTGACTGACAAATCAAGTGGGTTGCTGAATGGGAAAGGAGTGGCCATGGGGAATGTGAATTGTGTCAAGAATGACAGTACCTGTGACTAATCATAAGACATGACCAGTGACCATTAAATAACAAGCAGAGGTGCCATTATCTGAGCACCCCCAGTCTCTTTCAGTCAGCTATCTCTAACAAAGTGGACATCAGAATAGATCAAATGATACCTCATGTGTGTTGAGTGTGAATGTTTAGCTTGTGTCATGCCTCAGAGACTCAAAGGTTCAGAGCTGTTCAGAGCATAAGCACTCTGTTGCCTTTGAACACTTGAAGGAACAAATAGTCAGCTATCTCCTTGTGTCATAGCTTTGAACACTTCAAGCAACCTGTCAATGTGTGACTTTGTAAAGTATGTCTATATACTTCCTGTCCACATAGAAATCATGCTCACAAAGAACCTGCTGATCAGTCTGGATGATAAATATCTGGCTAGAGGCCTCACCCTGAGGCCATATCCATTTGATTTCCCATTTCTTTGTTCTGTCTACATCTGCCCAGCTATGCCTGCCACCTGTTTGTCACCTACCTGCAACTTGCACACTTCTCCATACTCATTGCATCCCAGGACTACCCCCCCAGCCAGCCTTTGCCAAGCCTTCCTCCTAACCCCACTGTCTCTGACACATAAATGTCACAGAAAGGGTTCAAATGAGCTCACTGAAGCTCATCAGGTAATACAATGTTTCCATTTATGCTGCAGTGCTCCATTGAATATGTGCATTAATAGGAAGTTGAATGCCTTACAGCAGAAGTCAATAAAGCAAAGGCAAGCATTGGGGAAACTCAGGGGAACCTTGACCACCTCAAGCGAGTTATCAATCAGGTCAGTCTGATCCATGCCAACAGCTGTTGGTCCCTGATACTCACCCTGATCAACTGCAGTTCAGTATTCACAAAAGCATGGTACTCAAGTGTTCCCTTTGCAGTGACACCATGCAGCAACCATTCACATATGTGTTAGTCTTTGCCTTTGACTTTACTGTCATGCTAACTCTGATCATGCAGGCTGGGTAAATGTGGACATACATTCTGTCATACTTGCCTTCGGTCTTGGTTCCAGCAGTCCATTGCTAATGCCATGAGGAATTATGGCAATGTCACTGTTCTGGAATACCTCAAGAACCCTCTGTACTCAGTCGGTGACATCAACACTATATCCATGTGTAAATATGTCTTGTATGTCTTTTATACCTGTCCTGTATGCAGGACCCACATTATGGACAAGCCCACTGAAACCTGGACCCTCCAGGAACTCATTGAGGGCATCAATTCCACCTTTGGCAGTCCAGAGGAACCAACCAATGACAATGGCATTCAGTTTCTGCAGGATATATGGGCTGATTGTTGGTTTGACAAACACAAGCTTATCACCATTGATGATTAGATACTTTTTGTGCATCCCTATGTAATTCTCAACCATAAATGCATTTGTCATGAATGGTATCAAAATAAGACATGAACACCTCCAGATGCATAAGAAAGGCTGAACAGTGCAGCTGATGGAGAACAGCAGGTGGCATTTGGCTGGCTTTTGAATGCTGATGTTTGAGTGAGAAGGTGGCTTGCACTGATCCAATGTACATGGAACAATTCATGATAATGTGCAAGCACAGACCTTGAGAGGGTATTTGCATTGGCAGGACAATCAATGGACAGATTGATGTCAATGGGAGTGTTAAGGATGGTTGACTCGACAGACAGACCACCTGTGTCTAGATAAATCAATGCTCATTTAATTAAACCTACTGTTAGAGGACAAACCACGTTCAACATCCATAGAAGCAGCATCAAGGATGGTCAATGAGTTGGTCCTGGATGCTACAGTAGCATCTAACTGTGGTGTTTTAAGGGATGCCAATAAAATCCTATTTTCCACACCCTCATTTTCTACAGATTGGTGATGTTGCTGTGACAGTTCTTTGTCATGTTGATGGTGAGCATGAGTAGATGGTTTCAACAGAACACCTGAGATGGATACATTCATCAGAGGATCTCACAAGTGGCCCCTGCAGCAACTGTGAACATGGCACCAACAAATCTTGTACTGTTGTTGCCTGGCCATGATTGCACTGTAAGAAGATACTCAGTACCACAGATGCTAAGGTGAGTTGTTTAATTGATAATGCAGTAAAACAAAACCTATTGCAGCAATTTCCTTTTTTGTAAGGTGCTCATTCAAATGCTGAGGGTGCCAGTGGTGTCTGTCCCTACACAAGATATCACTGGGGATTGACAGTATGGTAGACTATTTCACTTCTCTGCCATTGTCATTTGAATGATTGACCATCTGTGGCAGGATTACCCCAGTGATCACTCACCATATATGAGGGCATTGGGCAGTGACTGCATTGGAATCTGCTGCAATAGCCTTGAACCCAAAATGAATTGCACCCTTAGCCCCTGTTCAACCAACTCCAGTCCATGCACAGGGCACAAGAAAGGTAAATCTGGCTCTGGATGTCTTCCCATTCTAAGCCATTGACTTCTTCTGACTATCCATGTTCTTGCAAGTCCCTGGTCTCTGCCTCCTTCTCAACCTGATTTAATTTTAAATGCCATCACTGCAGGTACTTCTTTGCTGCTCACATCTCCCTTATACAATGTGCCACCAACTGCCTTGTTGGTGAACCAACTTCTGGAACCTCTCCAAGCTCAATCTAACCAAACAGTTCACAGACTTCTGTCATCATATCCTTGTTACCTGGGTCAATCTTGTCATGCCAGTCAGTGTCCTTGACCTCATTGGGCATGGAGTACCAAATGGCAGACACTCTCCCCATTATGCTATGGGAATGTGCATTCTCCAAGTCAGATGTCCACTGCCAGAGTGGTGGTGACATCAACAGTAAAGTTGTTGGTGAAGAACATGATAATGATTTGTATCAATCAGTCCAGCAGCCTGCATCCTTCTATGTATGACCTCAATAATCATCTGGGCAAAATAATAGTGTTTATTGTACATGAACAGTGAGAGCATGTTTTCTGGGGGAACATATCATTTCAACTCAGGTGTAAATGTAAACAACATGAATATGTGCATGTATGTCAGCCACTCAATACACCTGCCTACTGAACCTTGCACTTCTGTTTACCCCTGTACATCATAGCAGTCTTTCTCATGATCCAACTTGGCTCCTCCTGCATTTGTAGCCACAACCTACACCCAGGCAGAACAGGGTGAGCTTTGCCTTCTTTGGCAGGTTCCCATAATTCCTTGTTGCAATTCCACATCCATACTTGCACTGCAGACTCACCCCATAGATGGAGGTAGAGGTCAGTGTGTTCAACCTCCAGATCAGCAGGAGCATACTGAATGGGACCAGGCCCAGGAGAAGTATACCAATGCATATACATATTTTCATTCCAGATTCCTGTTCTAGCCTCAGGGAGTATATGGCTCCCTACACTAAAACCTCACACTGGGACTCTGTCATGAGCATGCTGGCACCTGAGTGAACATGACTTATAGAATTAGTTATGATACACCTCAATGTATGGAAGCACACATCAGTGAATATATCTTAGAACACATGGCTGGTAAGACACCAACCTCCTTAGTGGCATCATCAAAATCTTGAAGGCACTTCAGGTATGACTTGAAGATGGAACAATATTCTTGCATGGTGAAGGATATATCCCCTCATTGCCCTGTTGCCCACTTGTCAATACAGCACTCAATCTGCCCAGTGTCACACACCAAAGGTGTTGTGGACATGGTTACAGTTGACTCTGCCTAACTCATCAATGAGTTGTGCACAATGCCCATGAATGCAGATGAA